CTGAGGAAACTGCAACAGAGCCATTCTGAGAGACTGGGTCACCTGGTCCACCAACTTTCATTGGTGTCTGGTCTCTTGCTCTGAAAACACACAAACTTTCAAAGGTAATATACATATCTGCATTAACACAAGTATGGACTGTGTGCTGTACAGAAGTCAGCCAAAGATGATTTTTTTGTTTTATGTTTGACCAGGTACAATATATGTCCTCTGGCTTATTTCTTTGTGTCTGTAGCTAGGGTCTTTAGGGGGACTTTCCTGATCAAACCTGATCCCTATTAACCTCAAGGGAATACACAGTCTTTCATTTCCTGTGGAAACAAAAGCATAATCTCTTCCCAACATAATCCATTTTCTGAATTCCATCTTAAAGGTAACGCATCCCTAAAGTATCTAGGCTGGTTTAATTCAGCAGCCTCTCTTACAATCCCATGTCTCTCAGCAGCTGTCATTCACTCATCAGTATTCAAAAAATTCCAAGTTAGCACAACACCATACAGAATCCAGAATCCCTGTGCATTCCCCATTGAAACATGGCCTTTTCTTTTATATTGCTTTACTCTTTCTTCAAAGACTATTATTTTTAAACTATTTACTTTTTTCTATGACTGTCTATATACCCATTTTCTTTTCTTATGCCTACACACATTTTTAAACACACTGTAACTTGTTTAGAGTTTTTTCCTTTTTGGATCTATCTTTACTGCCTATCTCTATCCTTTTCTGACCACATGGGTCATCCGTGAAAGCCAATTCTAAGGTGGTAGCTGGTCCTGGTTGCAGCTGCCTTTGACTAGGAACTGCATTCATCCATCTAAGCTCTAGAAGTGGGTGCCAGGCCCTTAAACTTAACACACTGTTTCTGCTTAGCGGGCTACATCAGAACCTCTTAAAGGAGCCGTGCCCATTCCATTTTTCTTCCCTCCCTCCCTCCCTCCCTTCCTCCCTCCCTCCCTCCCTCCCTCCGTCTCTGTCTCTGTCTCTGTCTCTGTCTCTGTCTCTGTCTCTCTGTCTCTGTCTCTCTGTCTCTCTCTCTCTCTCTCTTGAGCACCAAGTGTAACAGGCTTTTGGTCCACCAAATCATGACAAGGAGACTTAATATTAGTTATGAATTCTTAACCTTATCTTACGCTCATTTCTTGCTAGCTCTTAGAACTTAACCTGTTTCTCTTCACCTACATTTTGCCTTGGGGCTTTTTACCTTCCTTTATTCTGTATGTCCTCCTGACTGCCCCCTCCATTGTCTTCCTCTATTTCTCCTTCATTCTCTCCTTTTCTTCTCTCCTTCCTAGATTCCTCCTACTTATTCTCTTTGCCAGCCAGCCCCTGCCTAGATATTGGCCATTCAGGCTTTTATTAGATCTGCAGTTCAACTAATCCAACAATGGCTAGCTGTGAATGGAGAATCCAAGTATCTGATGGTTGCTCAGTCCCACGAGGCTGGGTGTCTCAGCTGGTCTTCTGTATGTGCTGGACTCCTGAAGAAATACATGTCAATGCCAGTAATGGAATGGATGTGCTGACAAGGGCAAACAGGCGAAGAATGAACCCTTCCTTCTTCTATTGTCATTATATAGGCTTGCAGCAGAAGTTGTGACCCAGATTAAATGTGTGTCTTCCCACCTAAGATCCGAATCAAAGGTCTGTGTCTTCCTGCCTCAAGATACAGGATCACAAGTGTGCCCTCCATTTCTGGATTGTAGTTCATTCCAGATATAGTCACATTGACAACCAAGAATAGCCATCTCAGTTGTTAATAGTGGTATCAAGGAATTTGATGCCCTCTCCTGGCCTCCTTGGCACCAGATACCCACATGGCATACAGACATACATACAGGCAAAACATTTGTGCACATTAAATAAATAAATATTTTTAGAAAGTTTAATCATGGCATTTTGATAGGATATAGTTTGATCAAACTTTTAATCTATTGTGCTAGATTTAGGTACCACTATGGTTTGTTATTTATTTTTGTTGTTTTTTTTTAGTACTAGAGATTGAACCTAGGGCTTGATACATGCTAGGTATGCACTCTAGCTCTGAGCTATATCCCTAGTTCGTAATTTTTTTTTATTTTGAGACCCCATTCACAAGAAATTAAAGAAACAATTAAATATTTAGCAGCACTCAACATCAAAGGGTTGAAAAATCTGTACTTAGTTTTTTTTTAAAGCCACAACCTGCTTTTTTAATTTCCCAGATGGGGTTCTCTATGTAGACCTGGTTGTCTTGAAATTTGCTCTATAGACCAGGCTGGCCTCAAACCCAGAGATCTGTCTGTGTCTCTCTCCCAAGTGCTGGGATTAGAGGAGTATACCACCTCACCTGGCTACAGCCTGCATTTTTAGAAAAAGCATTTGATTTATAAGTCTTTTCAGTGGGCTGGAGAGATGGCTTGGAGCTTAAAAGCGTAGGAAATGAGTTCTGTTTCCAGCTCCTGTGAGGTGGCTCACAGCTTCCTTAAACTCCAGCTCCAGGGCATTTGATGCCCTCTTTTGGCCCCTACTGGGCTCCCATGGCCATCTGCACACAGGGCACCTATGCACATACAGACACAGTACACACATTAAAGAAAAACAACTCTCATCAGCCAAAGAAGTCTGTACAGTTTTTACACTAAAGGTAATGTCCAGATACACTTGAATTTCAAATTCCTAGCAACACACACACACACACACACACACACACACACACACACACACTACACCCATTTATTCTTCATCATCTTCCTCTTCTAGTTCACTCTTCTTTAGAATACTTTCTCAAGATTTACTTTATTATGTGCATGAGTGTTTTGCCTGCATGTATGTCTGTGCATTATGTGCCTACAGACATCTGGTGCCTGTAGGCGTCAAAACAATGTGTCAGGGTCCCTGGAACTGGAGTCACAGATGGTTGTGAGCCACCACCAAGTAGGTGCTGGGAACTGAACTGTGGCCCTCTGCAAGAGCAACATGTGCTGGTGACCTTGGAGCCGTTTCACCAGCTCCTGTTTCTTCACCTTCAAGCCTGTTGGCCTGCCAGGAGCCTCCTTTCCTGTGTCACTTTTGCCCTATGGCATGCAGCTATATTCCTTCCAGATTTCTCCTTTAGTTTAACCACTTTCTGTCCATATGGTATTTATTGTGGCTGGGTATTGGGGCCTCATTTCACCCAATCTTTTTGCAGTATCCCAGACAGAAATTCCATTCCCAGCTCTAGCATCAGGTGGTTTACAATGGGCTTTAACTCCAGCTCCAGGGAATTTGATGCCCTCTTCTGGCCTCCACTGGCACCCACCCACACTCTTATAGGGTAAGCTTGTACACACAGAGGCACCCAAGCATCCAAATTAAAGTGGTTCACCCACCCCCAAGGTGTGTTGTTTTTATACTTTTAGCAAATCCAACTGAGATGTGTTCGTAGCAGGGTTTCATTAGCAAACTGCGCGCCTTGCAAACTGACAGCTCACTCATTCTTTAAGCCTTTTTCCTCATTTATAAAGGGGTGATAGTATCAGAATCACCAACTGCATTGGGAGAATCAAGTGAGCTAGTATGCAAAAATGCTCCAAACATGTTAAATGTCATGAAAGGGCTTGGGAATGTAGCTTAGTTGGTAAAGTGCTCTCCTAGTATGCACAAAACTCTAGGTTCAATCCCCAGCTCTACACAAACCAGGCAGGGTGATGAATGTGTGCTTGTAATCTCAGCATTCAGGAAGTAGAGGCAGAAGATTCAGGAGTTCAATGTCATCTCCAGCTACCTTATGAGTTCTAGGTCAACCTATACTACGTGTGACCCCATCTCAAAATCAACAGCTGGGGATGGTGGCACACGCCTTTAATCGCAGTACTCTAGACGTAGAGGCAGACCAGTCTCTATGAGTTTGAGTCCATCCTGCTCTATATAGCAAGTTCCAGGGCAGCTTGCTTTTATAAAGAGACCGGGTCTCATTTTTTAAAATTGTAAAATAAAATGTGGGAGCTGGAGAGAGAGCATTCAGGAGTTGAGAACACTGGCTGCTCATCCAGGGAAGAGTTCTAGTCCTAGCACCCACATTTGGTTGCGACTCCAGTCCCAGAGGGATATGACACCCTCTCCTGGCTCTCTCTGGCACTACATACGCAGATGTACAGACATTCATTCATGAAAACACTCATACATATAAAATATAAATAAAATGCAGAAAAGAAGAAAAATGAAAATATAAGCTATTTATTACACTAAGCCATAGTAAATGTAATTCCCACAACTACAGTAAAAACAGCCTCTCTGATGCTGTACTTTCTGACTGCCCACACCACCATCTGCATTCACAAGTTTACTCTGAAGCACCCAGAGATACGACTATCAGTTAAATATCTCCAAGAACACTGTTGCTAGAAATGTTGCTGCAAATGCCTGAAAATGCCTCCCTTCAAATACAAAGTGGCCAACAGAGCTAACACTGGTCACAAGCTCATCTGAGGCAAGACTGCTGGTAAGACACTGCCCTCTAATCAGGAAGGGGTAAGGGGCTGCTGTCTCCACTGAGAAGACACTCAGGACAGATCACAATCTGCCTGCCTAAAAGAGAAAATGAAGTTTAATTTCCCAAATTTTATTAAAAATGGACTTCGTCATCAGATCTCTTATTGCAAAGATGAAATCTCAAAACATGCCAATAGAGTTTGCTGTAATAACAAGCTTTGAATGAACATAAATTTTTTGTAGTTATAGAACTTGAGAAGTTTTGTTATTAAAATCGATGCTTTCTTATTCTGTGAGTCATGGGCAAACATTTCCCACAAAAATTCAGTTCCTTAAAATGATATCTGTGGCAGGGCACATGCTTATACTCACAGAACTCAGGATGCTGCAGCAGGAGGATCAGGAGTTCAAAGGCACTCTGGGCTACATACCCAGCTCCAGACTAGTCTCAGAAATATAGAAATATAGAGGTGGACTTCTAGATTGTTAAGGGGAGGAGAAATGAAGAAGAGATGCATAGTCTGAAAAATTCTAAAAACAGTTACAAGTCCATTTCTCAAAATCTTTATTGTTTGGTACTCCTTTGATGTAAAAGCTGGCATTTCTCCACCCAGACCCTCCAGTATTCTTTATTTTTCTATTTAAAAGAATGGGAAGCAACTTCCCAAACAGTCATAGTAGTCTCAGGTTGTATAGAAAGCTTAAACTAAGAGGGAGGTTTCAAATACATTCTTCTATTACACATTCAGGAATGTTTGGTTATGGCCACCATAACTGCATACTCTTTAAGTTTCTCCTTAGGTAGCTCTTTTGATTTTAGAGAGTGTTGAGCTGAATGTTTGGGAGCAGAATGTGTCTATGGGGCATTCCTTTTCAGTTGAAAATATTTCACTATTAACAGAATTGGACACAATCAACATATCCTAAATAGAATACCACCAGTCCTTAGCTTTTCTTTGACAATGGTTTCTCTGTGAATTTTGCATAAACAGAAGAATCACTCTTCTTGGGCAATGGAGGTAAAATACAACTCTTTTGTTGGTCTTTTAGGTCAATGAGAGTTAAACAAATGTGTAACCAATGGTATAGAAGTTCAATGACAAGGTTGCCAAATTTCCATACTTCAATTCGAGAATGATCTGCATCAAGAAAAAGAAAGGTTAGCACAGATAATATTGTACTTTAATTATTAAGAAATAAAATATGATTAAAATTCAATATGATTGTGAATCAAAATCATAGCAGTATCTTGTTTATTTATTTATCAGAGATAGTTAACCTTGAAGGAATTACACACACACACACACACAAAATGAAATGCGTGGAATCTTATATGTACTTGGGTATAGCTTTTAAAACTTTAAAAACCTGGAGGGTTTACAAACTCATAAAGATACAGTAAAAGGAAGCCATGCAGTGATGGTGCCTCCCAGCCCCCAGGAGGCAAAGGCAGGCAATTCTCTGAGTTCAAGGCTACCTGATCTACAGAGAAAATTCCAGAATGGCCAGAGTGACACAGAGAAACCCTGTCTGGAAAAAACAAAAGGACAATCAAACAGAAAAGATATGGTAAAAAGAATGAATCAGGCATGAAATGATAAGCACCAAATTCATGATTGCATTGTGAGGAGAGAAAATGGGACCCGAAGAGGTGGAAGGTTTTGACTGTTCCTACCTTCAAAAAATTCAGATTCAAGTGGGCATGGTGATATCCCTGTGTCCCACCTGCCTGGCAGGCTGAAGCAGGAAGACTGCTAGTTTGAGGTTAGTCTAGGCTAGATAATGATTTTGAGCCAGCCTGGGCAACAGTGAGACCGTTTGTAAACTGAAAGTTGAGAAGGGCTGAGGACGTAGCTAAGTGGTAGAACACCTGCTTAGCACACACGAAGCCCCAGGTCACTTCCCAGCATTGTAAATTAAAGGAAAACGAACCTAACTCAAACAAGGCATTTTAAGATTGGGTATAAGGTATTATTTCATAATGAATACACAGTGCTTGTTATTTATACTATGTTTGAAATACTCTTCAACTAAAATCTGCTTCAAGACATGTAGTTACTGCCCACTATTGAAAATTGTTTGCTGCCATTCCTAAAAGATTCCCAGGAGCCAATGACTAATATTTAGATAGAATAGTCCAATGGAAAGAGTACCTTAAAGTTGAACAGGTCCGTGTTCTGATTTTGGCTCTATCCCAATTTTGTGACCTAACCATATTTACTTGTGTCGAGCCTGTCTATCTTTTTGTAACATAGTAACAATACTTTAGGACTATCATGAGGGCAAATGAGAAAATACACACAGGACTCTTTTTAGTGCCTCCCACCACAGGCTGAGTTTAATTCATCACTGTTGTTCCTAGTCTAACTCATTGGGGACCCAGATAACTAGCTGCTGGTTAGAGTTGAACAAACCATTATATATACACATAAAACTGAGTGAGCCTGTTAATTTGACTAACAAGAGTATCCTAACCATAATCTCAATTATCTACTAGAGTTTTATAACAGACATTTGTATTACATTGTTTCACGGATGTGTGTGTGCACGCTGGCACACATGTGTCATAGTATGTATGTGTAGACCAGAGGCCGAACTTGCAGGAGTTCTCCTTCCAACATGTGTGACCCAGGGATCAAACCTAGGTTGCCAGGGTTGGTAACAGGAACATTTACCAACTGAGCCAGCTTTCTCACAGACCTCAGAACATATTTTATTTCCTTGTCTTCTACCAACACAGGAGCAAGTTTCCCTGGATTAGGCTTGGCTTTATCGTGGTTTTGAAGGCACCTCCACAAGCTAAGGTGCAGTATATAACAGGTAAAGCCCATGCAGTGAGGAAACACTCACTGAGTCTTCACTTTTATTTGAAGCTGACTTTAAAACATGTGGATGCAATTAATTTCCTAATGTTCTCTTTTCATACACTCCCCCCCACAAGCACTGTTTTTCCTCATTCAATTGTAAGTGTTCAATAAATGTTGAATTGAAACAACATTAAATTAAGGAATAATTTAATTTCTTTATTTCAAGTCCTAAAAAGTTTTTCCAGATTACAGCTCAATAATATTAGTGACAATTATGAATAAAAACGAGAACGGATGCTAGTCATGAGAATACATTAGAAATAGCTTATTCATCTCACTTTATGGGTAATTCTAGACCAATAAAAATACCAACTTAAAACTCTGAGGACACATTTGTTACCATTGATCCCTCTTTGTGCTAATTAGCTTCCTGGAAACTTTACAAGGATATATTACAGATTTCCAAAGATTACTCTGATTATCTTAATGTTCCAGTGTTATGAATCTAAATTAAATAAAAGGGAGGTTCATCTCAGGACACTCCTAGTACCTATCCCAGCTAATTTTCTGAGATAAACAGCTCCCCACAGCTTGGTTCTGTGTTTTCCAAATCCTCGGCAGGGGCTCAGTTCCATCAATGGGTGAACATCCCAATGTGAAGACCCCTATCCACAACCATCAATAAACCAGTCATTATCTCCATGGTGATTCAAGGACAGGAGGATGGAGAGAGAGAGGTCCTTCCCTTTCACAAGTCCCTGTTGCTTATTTCCTGTTTTATTGTTACCAGAGACAAAAGCTCTGAACCTGTCTGGGAGGTAGTTCCTGTTTCCCTGTTATTTCCCAGAGATGGGTGTATTTACAGGGGTCCCTGAGTCCTCCAAGGAAGCCTCCTGCAGCTATTGGGATGTTACCATTGACTCCACTGCCCTCTTGCGGTAGACAGGTGCCTGACCGTCACAGGTTGGCAGACACCCCACAGGCACCCTCACAGCAATTCTCAAGAGGAGTCTACTTACATTTCCTCTGTGAATCTATGAAATTATGAACATTTTGATTTGCCTTAGCAATGCTTACAGCGATTTTTAAACTACATTTAAGCCACAAGGATTTCAGAGTAAGCATTGGAATATGTACATGGATGTATCGAGAAAGCTTTTATTATGGTATTTTTAGGTTCCACTTTAATCAAACTTTTAATTACACAGGGAATTCATTATGTTGGAAACATCAGACTATAAAAAGCATGTTTTTAAATTAAACCTCAATTTGTAGATCTCTGCTTTAACCCTGGATTAATTAAGCTAAATCCTCTGGGAAGCATAGACAATTAGTAAAATCAGGCAAAGCAAAAAGAATGAAGTATTTAACTTCAAGTTCAAAAACTGAACTGCTTCCTTCAGCTGTCAACTAAGGCAGGATCAGCAGTATTTCTTCAATGTTTTCCTTTTCCATCAGCTCCTTTAGTTTGAGTCCCCTGTTACTATTGCTTCACACTCCCTAAGTCATTTTAAAATGTAGTCATTTAGCATTACTGCTGGACACAGTAAGCTGAAGGTCTGTCCAGTAACATATAGTGAAAGGGGTGTCCATGCAAATTTCAGCTATATTTTTAACAGGCAGAGGAGCTTCGTGATGACGGCTGAGCACATCACTGTTGACTGACTGTCACCCCAAAGGAAGACACTTTCCAGGCCTGACAGGAAAGGGGCAGTGCTGGAGGAGGAGGAAATCTCAGCGTTTGTTATTACAGCTGAGGAGGAAGTTTGTTCCAGAACGAAACTTTTTTGTAAGTACATAGTTCAGCTGCCCTTGCGAGCATGGCTGCTGTACAATAGCACACATTCTGGACTTCATCAAAATGTAGCCCTGAATCAGATATGTGAATTTTGGTCAGTGTAATTTTTTTTTTCAAGACAGGGTTTCTCTGTGTAGCTTTGGAGCCTATCCTGGCACTTGCTCTGTAGACCAGGCTGGCCTCAAACTCACAGAGATCCACCTGCCTCTGCCTCCCGAGTGCTGGGATTAAAAGCCTGCACTACCAGTGATTTATAAAATAACACTTTTATTGATTATTTGGAAATTTCACATCATGAACCCCCAGCAGACTCACTTCCCAATCCTCTCAGGTCTGCCCACCCCCAATCTTGTGACCCTGCCCCCCAAAAAAGAAGAAAAAGAAAAACAAACAAAAAAGTCCAATTTGTGTTGTCATATACTCACTGGAGCATGGTTAAACTCCCGGTGGCCAGTCCCTTAAAGTAAACAGAGTCTTTCCCCCCACTCCCATTTCCCTGCAGAAGCCATCAATGTGGAGAGCTACTCTTTAGTAACCTTATCACAAGTTTAAAGAGTTCTCTTTGACTTTCTGCTTAGGCTGTTACTTTTTGCAGGGGTGGGGTAGGGTGAAGGTAGGAGTTGTTACAGAAACCTTCTATGGTCCTCTTTCTCAGCTATGAGTCTGCAATTATCAATACCACAGCAAAAGTATCTACCTTGCACTTAAATCAGTCAGTGGGAACATGGTTCATGGACTTACACATGGTTTCTGGTGACAGCACAGATCACTGGACATCCACATGGTATCCAGCGTTAGCATGTGCCATGGACCTCAGCATGGTCTCCAGTGACAGTACAGACCATGGATATCAACATGGCCCTCTGCCACAGCATGGGCCATGGACACCATCATCACTCTCAGTAGCATCACAGTTCAAGGACATCAACATGGCCTCAGGTGGCAGTGCATGCCCTCACATCAACATGGCACTTGGCACAAGCACAGCCCATGGGCATCATCATAGTTTCAGGCTGCAGCACAGATCATGGACATCCACATGGCCTTCAGTGGTAGCATAGACTCTGGCTGCAGTGGGACCATGGACCCAGACATGGCCTTCAGTGGCCATATGGACCCAGACCTCACTATGGCCTCAGGTTGAGGCACAGACCACTCACATCAATGCGGCTCAGTCAGTGCAATTTATCTTTACAGAAATTCATGGTTCAGTGAAGTAACTTTCAACCTTTTGGTAACATACATTGGTCAAGCCTACTGCTATGCTCCCTTTGTGGCAAGACATTCAAAGAACTGTATCCACTTCTCCCTTTATAAATCATTTGTGGTAGTTTGAATGTAATTGGCCCCCATAAGATCCTGGGAAGTGGAACTATTAGGAGGTGTGGCTTTGTTGGAGTAGGTGTGGCCTTGTTGGAGGAAATGTATCACTGTGGAGCTGTGAGGCCTCCTATGCTCAAGATATGTTCACTGTCTCAGACTACTTCCTGTTGCCTGCAGATCAATATGTAGGACTCTCAGCTGCTTCTCCAGC